TGTGTGTGTGTGTGTGTGTGTGTGTGTGTGTGTGTGTGTGTGTGTGTCGTGGGTGCCATGGATACACACATACGCAACCACCTGTTACACCCAAACTCACGAGAGATATAAATGTAGGCCAACCGCCATGGTAACCGTTCGGCCACGGAGGCAGTTACATTACACATACATCAACAGTATTTTATAAACTTAAAATATTTTTTACAAATACCGGTAATTCAACGCTTAGCGCTGGGAGCAAATTATTAAAATAAAGAAAAATTTGTGTTTATGTGAGTGTGAATGGTGTGATGTTTCAGCATGAGTCCTACTTGTACTTACTTACTATACTTTATGGTGATGTTTTATGTATGTCTCAGTGTGTGTTAGTTGTCTGACAGGTACAATTATGAAGAGTTGTGCGTTAAAAAAAAAAAGAAAAAGAATCGAAGGAGGAAGCGGTTATGTATACAGCGGGTTTAATTTTTATGTAGTACGGAATCAGTGACAGACATTAATTAGTACGGATTAAAAAGTATGGAATAATTTTATCATCAGACTCTAAGTGGAGGTAGCGATTGATTAAGAGAATTAGAAAGCTGAAACAGTACAGCGCCAACAACTGCCTGTGTGTACGTCTCGTATATTCCAAAAATATTCTGTATTTATTATAAAAAAGTAACCAATATGAACCTATTTCCATTTGGTGGTGTTTGAAAAATAGCAAAACTTCTAATTACAAAACAAACGGAATCAGATTTTATCGGTAATTAAATATTAAATACGTAATTTTTGCAAAGCTCAAGTTAAACTGGTCGATTTGAAGTGACACAATTGACGACACACGTCAATTGTTCCGAATTCAGGCTGGCCAATCGGAGTGCAGTTATCATCGTAATGATTTGGCAGAATAGTTTTCAAACAAATTAAATGACATTTCGTCTCTATTTCTGGTCATATACTCGATATTACAAGCACCCAGGACTTGTTAACTTATGTTTTAGGGTGTCGGGCGCAATGGCAGTGTCCCTAAGATCCATGCGATTTAAAGCTCTAAGTGGGACTACAACTGTTATGGACAGGCGTGTCGGTTAACACCAGGTGCACGACTTCAGGTCACTTGGTCATTATCATTATCATTACAAAAATAGCTCGGAAAATTTCTAAGGTTTAAAGACTTTCCTGTGACAGAAACGCCTGATGTCCTAAACGTCGTCGTTCAAAAATTCGCTTTTTTCAATAACAATTATCTAGCAGAATGGTTTATAAAAGAATATTGCGTTATTTTATTTCGTACTCCTTCATTTAGTACTAAATGTAAAAGAAAAGCTTTTTAGATATTCCAGCACAATAGGTATTTTATACGCAAAATACGTCTTACATTTAACAAAAATTTAGTAAACACATGCTATAAATGTGAAAAAGAAAATTCATTTCTACATCATGCAAGCTTTTATTTTTGTATTGCTGGTTGTACTTACACGCGTTCGTGTTTTGTTATTATTTGTGTGAATAATGAATAATTTCACTGAAAGTTAACGTTAAACTAAATTTAGTAAATGAATTAAAGATAAGTACTTTGTTAAAGTATAAAGGTTAAAGTTCTAAGTTAATGTCGCCAATGTCGTACTAGTAATATTTTTGTTTATCCATTAAATCACGTCTCACTGCTGGGCACGATCTCCTCTTAGGGGGGGTTCTAGGCCATAGTCCGCAACGCTGGCCCCATGAGGATTGGGAGATTAAGCACGTTTTCCGAAGGTCCTGAACCTTCTTTTACGTGCAGCTTTCATCACAATGTTCTCCTTCACCAAAAAGCTCATAATACATTTCAAATTAAATTTAGAACCTACGGCCTCTGTTTAAGAGGCAAGTCAAACTATTACGCTACCACAGCGTCTTAAAAATCGAATGCTTATTAAAAACCTCAAAATGACAGTGTCGAATTAAATATTTTTAATAGTATGAACACTTCTTATTTTCTTTTTATGATACTAAATGACTCTACCCTAAGCCTTCGCCTGAGAGGAGACCCGTGCCCAGCAGTGGGATGTATAAATGGGTTGATGATGATTCGATTTTTAAACATCTATTTTTTTATCCATTTATTATCTGTTTAACTTATTCAAACCAGAATTCATATAAAATTCAGTAATTATAAAGTGATTACATTATATGAACAACGGTAAGTATACAAAAGACCTTAAGCGTTTGGCATTGGGAAGAAATTTTAAAAATATCACCCGATGTCATTGGACTTGGCACCGATCCGCTGAAAATATCATCTTATTAAATATCTACAGCAAAGTGGGGTGATTCGCATTACACACATTGAAGCGTTTATTAAGATGCACAATTGTAAAGTTTATTTCTCAACGTTAACATGATTTATGCCTTTTGATATATGAGTCTGAACATAAATTGCCAAGGCCGATCAGGAATTTACGAAATAGGCTTCAGGTTGGACGGAGTAAGGACAAATTGTTCAGGTACGTTAAAAGTGAACATTGGTGATTGATCGTATGTCAAAAGTGCTTTTATCACATGAAAGTCATGAAAATAATATGAACTACAGGAAACAAATTATGTCTATGAGAAATATTATAACCCTCCTCTTTAAGCGCAAAAATGTTACCGATTTATTTTGTTCGTATAATCTTTAAAATTCTCTCTTGAAAAGTTATCATTTTGCGGATGTAGCCTTATTACATAGTGCGAATTGTACAAGGTATTTTTTTACACAAATGTTGGTAGGTGTATTGACGGTAGGGTTGGTTGTAGAGTGTGTCCAAGAGCTAGTGAATACCGACTCAGTAGTGAATGACTTCGTCCAGGGAAGTACTGCCACCTTACCTAAGAAGTAATGTGAGTATTACTACTTTCCCATTTTGAAGGGTTAAGGGCTTCAGGGTGACGGGCGGAGTGGCAGTGCCCCTCAGTCTTTGCGTTTGTAAGCTCTGAGTAGCACTGCGGAGTTCCGTATTGAAGACTAGGGAGTGCCACCAGAATCATAGGGACAAGGACTTTAGACTTTATTACCCAAGGTCGAAGATGCAAAATTAAGGATACTACCGCCTTTTCTTTCTATAAGGTGAACAATTTAAAGATGTCTGTAGCACAACTGTCGGTAAGAACAATTTGCAAAAAGAACTTTTCTAAATTGATTCTGCATTGAATATTCAAAGTGGTATCCCAAGGTAAATATGTTGCTCTTTTTGAGGCCAAGAAATTGGTGTGATTATTTTGCGCATTACTATTATTATTTATTGGTATCGAACCAGGTACCAGAGGTAGCTATTTTTATTTTCTTTATTTATTTATTGTTAATACTATATTAAACATTTTTTACAAATATATTATTGACAGTACAACAGCGGATTACTGTATGTAAATATGTGATATGTATAGAACATTGGGTAGAAAAATACATTAAAATTAGTACCTATTATGTTTTTTATACTACAAATTGACATTTTTTTTATTTACCATATTACGCTCGACCTCACACGACTTGCATACCGGTTTTCATGATCTCGCCATCTTTGGGGTCCTGGGTTCGATCCTCGGCCTGGTTAATGTAAAAAAACTAAGTTTTCTATATTGTCTCGGGGTCTGGGTGTTTGTGTTACCGTCGTTGTCTCCGATTTCCGTAGCACAAGTACTTCAATTACTTTAGGGTCAGGGTTGCCCTGTATGTGATGTCTAATATTTATTTTATTTCTTTTATACTCTTTCTCTCTTCATCACCAACTCATTTACACGTCCCGCTACTGGGCCCGGGCCTTCTTAGCAAATTGATTGTAATAGTTAATGTGATTGTATGTAATATAAATTATGTTATTATAAATACTACTAAGAAAAGTTTCGTTCAGTTTTCTATATAAACTTCAGTAATGTTTCTTAGATATATTCGAAATAGCATAGCAATATAATTACTTGCCTATTTTATTTTGTAATTCGCTTACTTGTTATAGTATATATATGAAATTTATGTATTTTTTGTACCTACCTATCTTGTCGTAATTAAGTTAGTTTTTGTGTAATATGACAAATAGATTTTTTTTTCTTAAATTTATCTAAACTTCCTCGCTGCGGACAAACTTGGAAAGGCTTTTATGAGCGATATTTATAAGATAATTTTCTATTTTTTGACGAATAAATAAAAAAAATTTATGACAATCTTCTGATTTAGCAGGGACTTTTATTCATCGATAGGTTACACTACACACCATATTATTACTTTGCTATATACTATTACTGCAAGCATTGCAGTTCAAATATATGCTTTATTTTCTAAATAACAAAGTAGATAGCTTTAAAGTGCATTTCTTATCTTAGTACAGTTGATGAAATGCCTTGAAAATGGATAATACTAGTGAATATTTTTAAACATGAGGCTACCAAACTCAAGTGCTCACTATGAGCTGAATAAAAGTAGAACATTGGCAACAATCTCGGTAGAGATTCGACAAGTTTTTATTTAAAGATCGAATCGTAATTCGTGATTTTCAATACTTATTGGCCCGGATTTTCGTAAGCCTGGGACTATTAATTTAATTAAAAAGTAGTCGTCACTTGTTTTTTATGTGCCTAAAATTTTATTACAACGTAAAATTGTTAAGAATATAATGTTCTTTTTTTAAAAAGATAAAATCCACTCTCTGCCACAGATTTAAATCTTGATGCTCGTAGAAACTTCCTATAAAATCCAATACTTTAAAATAAAAACCTTCATAAAATTTCTACTTACCGATAAAACTTTAAAGTAGATAAGCTATGTCATAAATGTTTGCACAACAACACCAAAACACTCACTAAATTTACAAATTTTCTAGAATAAACACACTTATTAAATTGTCTTTCTACACATGGGATGAAGCACACATCTATAAATAAAGTTCTAAAGTATATTTTTAGAAACACTAATTGTATTTTAAAATGTCTTTGGTCACACTTATTGTTCTATTTTAAGGATTTAGAAAATAATGTTCAAAACCATTTGTAAATAGAGTGTAAATATTTGTTAAAAATCGTGTGTAAAGGTCTAAAGGTTGCAGTTAGAAAGTTTCAGTCGTTTTTTATGTATAAATAGATAGGATTTCTTGAGATGCATTATCGGATTAAATAAAAAATAAAAAAGTGGATAGTGCAGAGAAATCTGAAGTAGATTATATCACTTGTTTTTAATATTTAAAAGTCCGCAAAAGTTCTCGAAACCGACTGAATGTATCATTTTCTTTAATCGCGTGGTTCGTTCGTTGATATTATCGTGGGTTTGAGTGGTTAGACGGGTTATTGTAGTTGTTTAAATAGTTTGAATTTTTATTTTCGTTTGGTCGATCGTAGTCCATGGGTGGCGCGCGGGATGGTCGCGGTACGTGTTTCGAGCGCGGAGTTCGACTGTGGACTGACGGTGTAAATGCCGCCCTATCGCGATAAATGCTGTAATGTTCCCGCATACACCACTACATATACAGTGTTACGGAACATTCGAACCCACCATGCATTTTCAAATGTTCACATTTTTTTCTATTACCCTTGTTTGTACACATTTTTCATTTTGCACGTACACTTGAGTGTGATAGAGACATGATTGTGGTATTGGTGTTTTTTTTTTATTAAAAATTTTATATACATTGAGTTAAAGATTCGAAGGCGACCTCGAACCTCTGAGTTTTTCGGAATTTGTGTGCGAAATTAAACTTGAAATTTATTATGAGCTTTTCGGTGAGGGAAAACATAGTGATGGAACCTGCACATCGAAGAAGGTTCAACACTCGGGAAACGTGTGAAGTATTCAACTCGCATTGAGCCAGCATGGCAGACTATGGCTTAAACACTTGCCTAAGATTAGACCTGTGCCCAGCAGTGGGCGTATACATAGATTGATGATGATGATGTAAATTATAAGTTATTAAGAAATTCAGCACTAACTTCAATCAGTAATATCAGCATCACTGCGTTCCGGTTTTGAAGAGTAAGGGTGCTGGTAAAATTACAGCCTTTTCAACTTACGTCTCAGGTTGATGGATGCAGTGTCAGAGCCGTTCAGATCTTTGCGATTTAAAGCTCTAAGTGGCACTGCAACTGTTCTGAACACGCCTGTGTAGCTTACCATCAGGCGCACGACTTGTTCGTCCCGTCACTTGATATTATAAAAGAAATTTAAACACATTATGTCACAATATAATATGTATGGTTTTATCATACTCGATGGGTTTTATAGAAGGATAAAGTAATTCATAGTCTAGGGACTATAACAAAGGGAAATATCCGTTTCGAACTCAAAAAAAGCATTAATAACAAATTGCAGTATTGTCTTTCGTCAGTTCACCTATTATAATTCTTATTGTTAATAAAAATTTATATAGCTCTACTTGAGTTGAAAACCGCTGATTTACAAAGCAATCGTAACACTCTCTAATAGCTCGCGTAAATTATAAGAAAACACAACCAACGTTTTCATCGCCAAGGGTTCCCTTCTTCTCGGTTTATTTTTAAATCAGTTTCACGTAATGATGGTCGACTCACTTGTATAATAAACACGTGTATTTCGTAATATTCCACGTCGTTTACCTAATTTTATCAACATTAAATGGAAATGTGAAAACTGCTATATGTTTGAAAATTATAGTACTATTGTATGAATTTTGAAAATAATGTTTTTAAACCATTTGTAAGTTATAATGTGCAAATGTCTGACTACTGGAATGAGAAAGTTTCAGTCGTTTTTATGTATATTATATATTTACTCACATAAGTTTAAAAAAAAAATGCAAAGTAGGAGTAGGCAGACTAGCCACATGACCCATCATCAGTCGTCTCCCATGGATTTCCCCAACATCAAAGGAGCCCATGCGTTGCCAGCTTTTGAGAGCGAGTCAACACTCGCTTTTCGAAGAAGCCCATATCATAGCGCAGAAAAAAATTCGGTTCGAGGTTTTACAATGTCGGGCACTATTGATCTAGGGATGGACTCTATTCCTTGGGCGGGAGGTGCGATTTTGGAAACGTGACGTTGGGATCAGTTCGAAAAGTTTCTTTGAGGATTGCCCGTTATACAGACGGTAGAATACACACAGAGAACCGACGTTTCTCCATAGACGCAGGGTCCTAAACCGTCTGTAGGTTTGGGATCGTCGACAACACGATCAGTTCTACGTGCTACCCAGAGAGGCCAGCAATAAAATAAATGCAAGAAAAGTCTAGTTGAATTACGCTAACTAGAGGCACATAATTATTTTGCGCAGTTACAACCTATTTAAGTCAGGGTTAAAAGAAGCGTGCATTGTCCGTCTATTTTTTCACGTACTTGACTCTACAGTTGTTCCTAAGACGACCTAGATGTTTGAAAACTGGATTTCATTGCAGGTTTTAACGATCTCCGTTGCCGCAGGGCTCACACATCCGTTTTTATGGCGTCTGAGCTTCCGGATTCGATCCCCGGCTGGGTCTATATAGAAAACTAACTTTTCAATATTGTCTCGGGGCTGGGTGTTTGGTACTGTCATTGTTTCCGATTTTCATAGCACAAGTGCTTTAGTTACTTAGGGGTCATATTAATATATATTTATTTTATAGGTAACATGTCTTTACACTAATGTTATATATTAAATACGTATATAGTCTTTTGATATGGAACTCTTTTTATAACAAGAGTGTTTAACAAATTTTCAAGCAATCTTTCTTCATAAAAAACAAAAGTAAAACTAGGTTCTATTCTATTTGAAAAAGTCTTCCTGTATTCTATCCAAGTCGTCTGGATTATAAATGCGCTATTTGTCATTCAAGTAAGTAGTGGTCCCTTGGGAAAACTAAATGTCAAAGTTTCGCAAAGTAAAAGAAAAGAAACTAATAGATCTATATAACTATTTAATAAATTAAAGGTCATTGAATGAGACTGTGGTCTATGATTACATAGAATACAAACAATTGCAGTGGCTAATAAAGCTTACAAAATTATGGCATCATCTTCATCAATATCATCAACCAATCACATGTCCCGCTGCTGGAACCCATCTAGGTCCGTTATATAGATGAACTGCATGCCTGCAGTAAATGCGTGCAATCGTGATAAACAGCATGCCAGTTAAGACTTTCTACTGCATGCCACAAAGTAGCAGCCACGGTTAGATAACAGATGTTGGTTCGAATTCAGTCGATCCAAAGAATTTCTCGTTGTGTCTGTTCATGTCCGTAACACAGGTCAAATCCTAGTATGGACTCCAGTCTCTAACAAAGATGTATTAATAATAAGTCCATGATGTAAATTACTTATTTATAGGATAACGTGGTGAGAGAGAAATAAAGATTATTATTATTATTATTATTATTATCGCATTCTTTGTATCAATAGTAATACATCAAATAATTTTTAACATAAAAAACACCTTCAACTGAAACTGAGTTACAAAGTTGTCTTCATACATTTCATACACAAACATGAGACTGAATACAGAATTCAAAGTGAGTTCCACAACTTTTCACGAAGCGTTAAATTGGACGCATTTTTATTTTCTAAGGCCGTTTCCTGGCTTGTCGGTCTGGTTGCTCGCTAGTGAGTATGCGGCTTTAAAAATGGGAGATTGCATCGTGACATATTTCCACCTACAATAGCGGGCTACCTATTCAAACGTTATCTTGGGGTAAACATAGTTACTGCATTGACTTTGCCAATATTGTACCATCAAAATAGAGAGTCACCACATCTATCGACTCGGAATCGGCTTAAGTCGATCAAAATAGAGCGAAATATTGTGTATTAAATTGTAGCAAATTGTTTCTTTGTATTGTTTTAAGCACATAAGTAGAAGTGGCTAGTTCGCGTCCGACACGTGCCAACTACAGGTCTCGAAAGACCTGTATGAGCTCAGTCCGCCATTTCGCTTTGTATGGTATAGTTGTGTCATTCTTTCGGGTATATTCTGTGAAATCCTAGAAAAATGCCCAATTGTGCTGTTTTGGAGTGCAAAAATGATAGCACCAAAAATATTAGTTGTAGTAGTATTTCATACCATCAGAAAGTCTTATATTAATTTTCAATATTCTGTTTATCGAAATAATTTGTTTGTGTTAAGAAACGAAAGTAAAGCTTATACGACATATTATGAGATCACTTAATTTTTTTTCTTCCGTGGCTTAAGTGTCTGATTAGTTTATTAACCTGTTCCACTACCTTTATTGTACTTGTTATTTACTATTTTTTTAATTGAAATTTATAATCCTATGCTATACAAAATAATAAATAAATTTGAATTTCATATGTATAATTGTTATTAAGTATAATTGTCAGCGAATGTCCATGTAATAAGGTAACCTAAAAAGCGGCATGTAGCGCTGAGGCTCTATACTTTCCATTAGCACTAGATTTCACTACATTTTCGAAACTGTATTTTTGTTTAAGCCTATGAATAAATTATTATTATTAAATAGTCTTATTATTATTATTAAATAGAACGTTTTTTTCCGACTTGACTTGAGCCGATTTAAGCCGATTCCGTAGTGTGAGTTGACCTCAATAGTAATTTTTGTTCAGACACCTTGATTGCTAATAGGTACAATATAATTTAGTGTTTACAAAATTTAAATATCGGCTAGTACGAAATTTCAAGGCCATTGTAAATTCCATACGATGTTTCCAGTCTAATTGATTTATTGACCAATGTAAATAAAATATTCTTAATGTTTTTGTAACGCGACGCTGCGCGCGCGACGCGGTTCTGACGTCACGAGCACGCCTGCCGACGCGCACGACACGCGATGCTATTTTCAGCGTAAGAGACATTTCCGCCACTCCGTTCGCAATGCATAGCGTGGCAAACCACCAGAAATAATTGACGACGAAAGGTGAATCGGTGTAGGTTACTTTTGTAAACAGGATGGAATTTTTGAAACATAATATGAAAAGATCATGTATAAGAAACCTTGTCATAATACACAAAGTTACCTGTCATCGTTCATAATTTGCACGTTCAATAATAAAGCGACGAAAATGTTAAAAAGTAACTTTTTGGGATACTGACAAAATAAATAGAAAATATAAAAATAATAACACGCGAAATAAAACTAATAATAATATACTTTTCTTATATGAAGTAAAATGTTGTTATATCTGACTTAGTGCCATTTTATGGATGCTAATAACAATAACATACTAAATTTATACACTTTTAAATGTTTCCGTTGCATTAGGACCAGCGCAAACCGACAGACGTGGAAGCAGAAGACATTTTACCCCTTTATATATTATGCTATTCCAATTAGTACGAGGTATAAATTGCAATGCTCTGAGATCGACCTCGGAGAATCGTGGAACACATCTCTATGTCCCAGAGCATTGAAATTTTAAATTTTTTTTTAATTTTATTTTTCAATTGAGGTAGTGTAAAATATACTTTGATAAAT